CCCTTCAGTAGTTATGGAGATAACAGCTTACATACAAAAACTTAACCAAGAATTTCTAAGTCGAAAAAGGGGCATAATTATGAAAAAAAGCAAATCAGAGTTATGGGACTTGTGCCAATCATCTTAGATAATCACAGAGAACAAGTGTGTGAAGTTTCAATCCATTCCCTTCAGTAGTTATGGAGATAACAGCTTACATACAAAAACTTAACCAAGAATTTCTAAGTCGAAAAAGGGGCATAATTATAAAAAAAAGCAAATCAGAGTTATGGGACTTGTGCCAATCATCTAAGATAATCACAGAGAACAAGTGTGTGAAGTTTCAATCCATTCCCTTCAGTAGTTATGGAGATAACAGCTTACATACAAAAACTTAACCAAGAATTTCTAAGTCGAAAAAGGGGCATAATTATGAAAAAAAGCAAATCAGAGTTATGGGACTTGTGCCAATCATCTTAGATAATCACAGAGAACAAGTGTGTGAAGTTTCAATCCATTCCCTTCAGTAGTTATGGAGATACCAGCTTACATACAAAAACTTAACCACAGGGACGCCGACGCCGACAAATGGGTGACTGCATTAGCTCGATTATTCTGCGAATAGTCGAGCTAACAAAACAAGTTACAAAGAAACATTAATAAATCAATGAATTTTCGAGAAATATATTTCTTGAAAAAGAATAGATTTATTAAATATATAATTTTTATCTGTTTAAATGTGAAAAGCCAAACAGTGCATAACTTCATTGTTTTACTGTTGCATTTACATTGTTTTACTGTGGCATTTATTATGATTGCTTGTAAATGACTAGCTGGCAAATGTGAAACATCTTGAAACAGTTACAATTTTGTTGAAACGACTAAAATTAAAATAATTTAACAACGCAAAACATCCGGTTCGAATAATATTGAGTACAAACAATTTACTATAATGATGAATATCACACAGTAAACTATCCAGTATTCATATTATACAGCACAAAAATTGTAATGTTGATATCTTACATCTTAATATTTTCGTCTTCTTCTAGCACACATCTGTATATATATTTAAATTGTGAAATCAGACATTATGCCAAAATGTTACGAAATTTAGAGCGAATACTGTGTCAGGAGAATTACACGTTTGTAAAAAGTGGTCTTGTTTTATGATCTCACGCCACTAAATACTAATTTAAAATGGCTGCATTTGTTCTGGGTTTAAAGGTGTCACCCCGGTACGGAATTAGACCCAGCCCGTTGTAGTCTAGAAAGTAGTTCTTTTAAATTTTGAAATGGCCTATTTCATATCATCTTAATTGATACTGGTTATATTTTAAGTATATCTTTAGTAATTATGTACATGAAGTTTCATTTCTGAGTACTTTAAAGGTTGTTTTTGATGTATTTTTGCAGGATTTCATTTCTTGGTGGAAGGTTTCATGAGGCACTATGCACAAGAATACACACCAGTTACTATTTGGAATATTCTATAGTGATTACAGAAATTAAAAGCTGCAGAAAAACTCCAAGGGCTAATGTATTATTTTTTTGTGCTAAATTTACTTGGACTGCATTGGTGTTTAAAGAAATGGTCATGAAGTTTAGGCACCGGATTTGTTTTGTCCAGAATTTAGCCTTAAATGTGATGGATTTACTATAGGATATATGGGTCGAAAATTCAGTAGGCCGTGTCCTAAAGCCGACGCCTCCAGATGAGTAGAAATATTTCGATAAAATCAAACCTGGAAAAAATGTACTAAAATTTTAGGAAAGATATAAATATTCAAAATTCTAGTAAAAATTTACATGTTATGTGCGATTAATTAATGACCGTTTTTTTTCCAGTATGTATAGCATGGAAGGGCTGGAACTCCGCCATATAACTATATTTCTACTGCGTTACAAACGCAGCAAGGGCTATTTTTGCATATTTTGACCTCTTTATAGTAATTCACCTAGGTTGAAAGTCCCATTGATAATTTGAAAATTGCTTTCTTTTGGAAACTTTAAAAATATTTACTCCCTTAAACTTTTTCAAAAAAATTAGGTGAATTGGGGGCGGCTTTTTAAAACTGAGTTTTTCTTTCAGTTCATGCTTTTTTTCTTTATTACTGATTAGTTTTTTTTGTTTCAAAACATTTATTGTTCTATGCCAATAAAAATTTTTTGATTTAGCTGAGTTGAATTTTCAAGTAATGTAATGTACATGAACCCTTTTAAAAATGGAGCAAAAAATACTTTTTTCAAACGGCAGATATATATTAGGGTCGAACTGTTCACTATTTAGAAAAATTTGTAAGGGGGCCAAATAGTTTACCGGTAGAGCCGGTACGGTTTTTGAGGGTGGGGGTTTCGAGCCCCGGTCAAGCTGCACATTTTTCTCACCCTGTGACATTTGACTCCCAACGGGAGACAGTGACTGACTTTAGCTCAGAGTTTAATTCACACTGCTCTGTAACTCTGTGAAATTCGAGGACGAATTTCAATATAGCAGGGAGTATGTCACGGTTCAGAACTGTTCACTATTTAGGGGAGAAGGTGTGTAAGAGGTAGAGCCGCGGCACAGTATTCCGAGGGTCCCGGGTTCGAGTCCCAGTCAGGCTTCACATTTTTCTCACCCTGCAACACATACAATCCATGTAATTATATAATTACCAAAAGGCGGTCAATTGATAGATCCCTGCTCTGAACTTTTTTTCGAATAACAGTAGATTTAACCACAAACATTGACATATATATATGCTGTTTTGTACGGAAGCGTCCTGGTGCCAATTTAACATGTTCTATAAAAAAGATAACTACTACGTTTATAAGTCCTACGTAGGAGATGGTAAAGCCTAATTAGGAGTTTTAAAGTCCTACGTAGGGCTTTATAAGTGTTCTCCTACGTAGGACTTTATAAGTGTTCTCCTACGTAGGACTTTATAAGTGTTCTCCTACGTAGGAGTTATAAAGTCCTACGTAGGAGTTATAAGCTCCTAATTAGGCTTTTTTATCTCCTACGTAGGAATAACAAAGTCTTACGTAGGACTTATAAAGTCCTACGTAGGAGTTATAAACACCTAATTAGGCTTTTCTATCTCCTACGTAGGAGTTTTCAATTTTTATAGAACATGTTAATTGGCACCAGGACGCTTCCGTAGTTTTGTTAAAAAGTATGCTATGGTGAAATTTTTATTGTATACACTAATTTGATGATAAGATTTTAACATCAGGGATCTATATATGCAAAAATAGCCCTTACTGCGTTTAAGTAGCGCAGAAGAAATATGACGGTAAATGCTGCAAAATCATTCATTAATTATCGCACATAGCAAAAAAAAAAACTCTGTTTATTACATACCCAAAATAAAGACCGTTTAAAGTGAAAAAAGAGTCATTTTTCATTGACGCGCCTATAGTATAACGCTAAAATTTAGCGCGTCTTTACACTATGTTGGTATAACGCTAATGACGTCACGTCAAAATATATGCACGGCCGTGCAATACCATTTTTACGGAGTCGCAAATCGGCACGGGATAAAACATTGTTTAAATGAATATCGTTCAACTTGACAAATTTTGTATTTGTGGTATTTTTTACTCTTTTCGAGTTTTGTGGTTCCAGTATTCCTATTTGAATACTGTATAATAACCCATTGGATATGTTGCCTGCCTTTAAAGATTGTCTTTTGACCTGTAATCCCGTTTGATATTAATACAGTAATTTATATCGTATTGTTCGTAAATACATTGCGAATCATTCTTATCCACTCAATGACTCTTGTTTTAACCATACATTACAATTTTATACTGTTAAATATTACTCCTGATCAATTTTAATTACCTCTATTATCGTGTCCGCAACTCACCCGAACCTATAGTTATCCACATAATATACTGTTTTTATGGGGATCTAACACGGGTTTAGAACAATTTCACATTACTTATATATTTTCAGAAGTTACTCGCTAAAAATAGACAAAATTAACACAGAACCGGCGTCATTTATCGTCTTATGTTTTAAAGAAGAAATTAATTTACAGTGTACTATTAAAAGAGTAGAAATATCCGATTGTCTCCAACCAGTTTCATATCTAAAGGAATATTTCCAACATGGCGTGAAGCGTGCCATAGAATCAACGTAATTATGTTTTTGAGGCAGCAGATCTTTTTATTTAACTGTTCACTGCATGCGAAATTGTCACATATGTATCAAGCATGGTAAGTTCCTCCCTCCACGATCATCTAGTATACATATAAGATATCTGTTGAAATATTCTATGAAATTCAAACAACGAAAAAAAGCATTGACAAAAAACCCAACTAATTTCAATATGACCTCCGAGATGATTATGTGTACTCGGCGAGGTGTTCCGAATACATCGGATGCAATTGTCACAGTTATAGAATACTTAATCTTATATAGTGCTTTCCTTAATTTAAAACGGAGATAGTCTTCATGTATATATAATCAATACCACGTTATTTGGATAAACAGTATTCCGAACTTAATACATAACAAAATTGGATTGACCATTGAAACACGCTTTTATTTCACTGTCAATCTAATTTTATGCCCAACATAAGCTGAATACCCTATAGCAAAGGTGTTCTTTAATCATCCACACTTAATTATTTATTCAACGTTGCCTAAATTGGATTCCAGGTAAATACAGTCAGGAAAAAATTGATTTCTGTCTCCTCTTGTAATAGTGGTTATCCATTAATATAAAAACCAAATATTCATCATTTTGATTGGTGAGGTTTTGTGGACTGTTCTTGTTTTTAGTATATGACCGGAAACAAGCGATTTATAACACGTGCGTGATTTTGTTAGGATTAGCATTTATTGATAGCTATTAGACAAATATTTAAATAAAATATAGTTCAGCTGTGTATGCCGGGATACATTCTTTTTTATGGAGGTTATATTTAATTTTGTATCACATGTGATAGTATCTTCTTTTAAATAAAAAAAAAGAAAAAAAAAAGAGAGAAAACAACGCTAGTTAAACAAAGTCACAGAGTGACAGCTTTCTAACGATTAGAAAATGACTAAACTTGTACAAAACGTGCTGCTTATAGCACATATCATCGTGAGATTTTATACTCATGCAAATTACTCTAACATGACTGAACGCGATCTACATGAAAAACTTTTTTATAAGTACAACACGAACGTAATGCCAAACTTAAATAAATCGAGACCAATGGAAGTAACAGTGGACATGTATCTTATGTCAATAGATAATATCAACGAAAAACGGCAAACTATAACAATAAAGGCTTTTCTTGAAAGTTTCTGGAAAGATGAATTTCTTACATGGAATACTGAAGATTATCCTGGCGTTAATAGAGTGAATGTGAAGAATTCGGAAATTTGGATTCCAGACTTGGCTTTGGATGATACATTTGACAAGCATACCGATATAGGTCAAGAAGACGGGAGAGCAGATGTTAAAAGCAATGGGGTAGTGACAATATGGCCCTATAGAATATATACTGTTGCTTGCAAAATTAGTATTAAACAGTTTCCATTTGATACACAAGATTGTGTATTTGATTTTCTGTCTTGGACAAACCCTTCGACTATTCTTGTTTTAAATAGTTCATATAAAATGTTGGATATGACGTATTTTTCCGAAAGCGGAGAATGGGACCTCATTCAAAGCAACATAAATCACGAAAGACGGCCATACGGGAATGACTCTTGGGACCATCTTAAATTCTTTCTTAAGCTGAAACGGAAGTACCTTTTTCACATTCTGAATGTTGTTTTACCAGTTGTGAGTATTTCTATGCTAAATATCGCGTGCTTTCTACTTCCGTCAGAAGGCGGTGAAAGGGTAACGCTTTCAATATCTGTATTTCTGACTCTGGCTGTATTTCTGACTGTTGTTAACAGTTACATGCCAGAATCCTCCGACGAGGTGGCAACGTTCAGCGTATTTGTCGGCTTACAACTATTTGGAAGCGCTTTTACCATACTCATGACTATAATATCTCTTCATACATTCTACAAAGAAGAATGCAGTGACATCCCGATGCTATTCAAAGCATTGACGCGACTTTGCTGTACCAATAGTCAAAAAGAAAGCAGTAACAATAATGGACCGGAAATCATCAACGGATATGGCGACACAACGTTGGAAGGCGTAATTAATGATAAAATCAAGATACCGGAAGAAGAGCAACATGTTTCGTGGGAAATGGTTTCAAAAGCTATCGACAGGATATGTCTTGTGTCAGCAATATGCTGGCACAGTATTCTTATAACTAGTTTATTAGTAAGCATTACAACATGAAAATAACACATTCAGTTAAAAAAAAAGAATCAAAGGAAAATGACATGAGGTCTAATATAAAGGGCACTTACGCTTCATATCAAATATCTATTGTTTGAATTTTATATGTACTCTTTGTTTCATAAAGATTCGCAGATATGGTACAAACACGAAATTTAAAAGGCATTAATCAAGCCTCATAATTTGTTCTTGTTATATAGATAATTTCTTATTCTAAACGTTCTCTTTTCACAACTACATGCTTCTTCTCATAATTTAATATAAAGATATAACATTTTTCTTTATATACGCGGTATTAATAAGAATAAAGGTAAAAGACAAGATCAAAATTTGGATTAACTATTGAAAGCACTTCACTTACAAATTGATTATAAAAGGTTTCCTAAAAATTACTTTTTATGTACAGTAATTGTAAGTATATTAGCAAGTTTGTATTTGCAATACGCATGAAACAAGTAAATAGTGATTGTAATATTGACTCTGAATATTAAACGTTTTTGAACCAGTATTTAGTAAGATTTGGATCAAATTTAAAACACAAATATTCTCCATTGTTTATCCTCACAGACTAAATATTTGATATTGTTTTGACAAAATTGGACTTGAAATAGCATGTTAATGAACTTTTAGATTCTTTTTGTTATTTTTCATTTTATTTCATTTATTTTTTGTTATTTTAAAAGATATGAGCATTTTATAGTGATCAAAATATTGATATTGATCCTAAAATTGATCCTTATTTTGATCTAATTATTTAGATTTTTTTATGTAACTATTCTCCAAAATTATTGTTGTTTCTTTGCAAATCAGCTATGTTTTATATTTTATTTCTGTACCATATATTTTTAGCTAAATATGTTCAGTTTTAGTCAAATAAAGCAATAAAAAATAAAATCAAGATAATTTCATCCTGATCCTGATCTTTTCTTAGTGAACACAGTGGATTAGAAATAAAGATTTCTTGTGAGAGACAGTCTTGTCTTTTTGACAGTTGTTTTCATGTTCAACACAACAAGTTAACACTTATTTTACGATATATAGCGTATCATATGACTACGTTAAAGGTTCATTATGTCTCAGAAACGTATATAAGGTTTTCTTTCTTTACATAGAGCTCATATGAGTTTTGTAATATTTTAATAATGGTAGTAGAGTAAAGTTGAATGTGCATAAAAGATGCAAATTGTAAACGAACTAGTATTTTAACTTCCATACAAAATACTAAAATAAAATCTACGTATGAGGCATTTGCCGATGAGTATTTTTTAAAACTATATAACAGGACATAAAAAAATTAAAAAAAACGTTTGAGAAATAAAAATAAAATTATACCTGGGGCATAGTTGGCCTTTAAAACGACATCTTAATTATCAATTCAGTATCAATATATTCGTAGATTACAATATAAAAGGAACTTAATTATCATTTTATATTACTTGAATTACACGAGCAATTATTAAGAGTTTTCAAAATCTACTGTATTTACTGCAAGCCTATACAATTTAATTTTATGGGTTGTTGTGATTATGCTAATGCACCTATAGCTTTTACTGTTTCATATATTGCATCCTTATCAATATACAATTCAAGTTGAAATTGTATTTTTTTTGAAAGATAGTGTTTCTACTCATTGGTAGATCTAATTTACTATTTATATATTCATTTTAAACGCTACTGCATAGATTCTTTGACTTAGGCCAATATTTGGCCGATATGTATTCTATTTTAGTAGACAAGTACTGCGCATAATTTACAAATATTTCTATATATGTGTACAGAATTAATAAAACATGTTTGACGTTTGAATTTTTGTTGTTTATATAAAACTTTTGTATCGACGCTTAGATCCTATTATGGAGTATTTTATGATATACTAGTAGCTCTCCTTCCTACACACCTATAAATTTAAATTTTAACAGATATACATACAATACAATATAACACGCACACGAAATGAAAATTTTCTGTTCATATTCAGTTTCATTTATAGCGTTTGGTTACTTGAAATAATGCCTGTAGCATGTAGATTAGTTTTCATTTGTACACGTATTATATTCACAATTCATTAGGCTCATCCAAAACTATTTATAATACATACCAGTAGGAAGATGACACCTTTGAATAAATTTTCTTCTTGCAGTCCCGTTTTAAACGTCCCAAAAACGATCATAAAGTAAGTACGGCACAAACGTTGCCTGGTTTTAAAGGCCCATTAAGCAAAACACATTCTATTCATTCTATTATAAGCTATTTTATTTAGCAATTAGTATAGTTAAAGTGATAAAGATATTCATTTCTGAGGCATTTTGTGCCTTTTAAGAAGTACAAAAGTCATAAAAATGGCGGATGTCTCAATTTAATGACGCACACAAATTGAGGTTATCGTTACCACTATTAAATATTTGATGATACAATCGAACTTGGTGCCTTTGTTTGCAGGACAATTTTAACTAGATGATAGATTATTTCAGTATGGAAACTTGAAACTTCCATTGATTATTAAGAAGAGGTGAAGACACTAGCATAGTATTCTCTATGTTTTACCATAAATCTGCCTTTCACGTCGGGGCACGTAATATGTTTTGTAAAAGGTTCGCAAAAGAGATAGAGGTTCCATGAACAGGCTCAACAAAACCGAGCCTGCATAATTTTTAAATGCCTTTCGAGGCTTTCTTTAGGGATTCTGTTTTCTTTATATACAAATGCATCAGGAAAATACCACAGCGGTAGGGATTCTAACTCGCGATCAAACGCTTATAAACGAAAGTAATAACGCTGTAGACCTCTGAGCCAAAGAATCCATACCCTGATGTTGTACTTATAGAGTTATAAGGGTAGTGTGTAATCATTCAACCGTTACAGTTAATATTCAAAAATGTCAAATAACAAAAGGTATAATTTTAGCTGGCTCAAGGCATAAAATGTGCCAAATGTGCCAAAAATAGATAGCCCTTACTCTGTTAGGAACAGGGTTCACCTCTTCACTTATGAAAAAAGTCAAATTTTACATACATGCATTATATATTTTGTATTTATACAGCCACTTCCCTAAGTTAGATTTTTTTTAACTTTATCCATCTGGAGACGGACAGTTATATTTAAACCGATATTTTATCAAAGTAACGATACTTTAAAGTGAATTGGTCTACATAAATGGGTCACGTGCACATTTTCTATATGCAATCCAGTGTTGATGGAAACAATAGGAAATGAAACAATTAGATATTCTTATAAAAGTTTATTTAAAAAAAAGAAGAAATGTTGATAAAGTTCTAAATAATTTAGAATGAACATTTATATGGTGAATGATAATGTTTTGTTCTAGAACAATTTATTATCTGCTGTATAAATACATGTATATATGTAATATTGGATAATGTATTTAAAACTTGCCACCAACGTCTTTATTGTTATTTTGTTGTTCTTTTGTTGTTGTTGCAGTTGTTTTGTTGTTGTTGTGTTGTTGTTGTTTTTTTGTGATTTGCCTGATACTAGATACTATCAATGTGAAAAATTATTGTTATAACGACATTTCATTGTAGACCAATTCACTTTAAAAGTAACTTTTCACTTTGAAATCGTGATAAACGATGTAATAAAATGTTGAATACAAATATGTCAACGGTAACAACAACAAAAATGAATAGATAAATAAGAAATGAGGTATTTGAGGAATAAATAACAACCGGTTTGTTTAAGGCCGTCATTTGTTTATCGATTTTGCACAATACAGAAAGAAAACCAGACAGATCATTCCTCCTGTACTGCTCTATAACTTGTCAATATTTTAATGATGAAGCGATGTTTCAATTTAATGAGGCCAGTTTTTACATAATAAACTTATCTCGTTTTCCAGCATATTTGCAAAGCATTTTAGCACATAGCCTTTTTTCCCTTATTTGCTAAAAGCACACGATTCCATCAAATTAATGACGGTTTTAACAGACCATTAAATAAAAACGTAAATAACATTTAGCGTTAATGACTATAAAATAGCTTTATCAAATATTTAAACATTAAGAAACCAAAAAAATCAATGGTTTGTGGATTGAATAGTCAACAATACTTTGTTTTACTTCAAGGTGTTTGTTTGAACTACAGCAATCAGCAAAACTTGAAAAGCTACGAATGCCATCCAGCACCGTTTAAAGAACTTTTTTTCTTTCTTTTTCTCAAATCATTGAACGAACATTCCGATATAAGTTATTTTCTAATACATTTTCCGCTATGCAATAATACAAGGATGAGTAAATTAAAGGTACGTAGACAAAATCAGGTCATATAGGACCACAGGAAAGGCGCCCAGTAGTACATCGAACAGGAATATTACTCACGGTGTGATTTTACATAACACGCCCTACATAATATTGGTTATGTGGATGCGGATGTTCGTAAAAAGTCAAATAAAGATCAACAAGAGAAATAAACGTTCACAAAACGAGTTCCAACAATATTTCAAAGCAAATGTTTTGTCTTCATGTCAAATGATTCCACAATCGATATGTTAATATTTAATTTATTTTATGTCAATGTTCAAATGAGCGATCAAGGATATCAAACAAGCATTAGCACTTATAAATTCTTGATACCAATATCTCTCCAGAAATCAAACTATATCAAATGTCAGCTAAAATGGGAGATTTTGCTGTTTTAACATATAACTTTCACATATGCAGGATTCTAGCTTGAACACTTTAAACAAGTTATAAAATATGTATTCTTTTATTTATTCCTTATGACTACTACTTCAAATATAATGTTTGTTGCATTTCAATTGGTAGTGATTTTCATTCCTACGTAGAGATGGGCTTCGAAATACTAGTAAACCGCATTTTAGTGGCTGTGTTTTTGCTATTAAATCTTTACAATTGTACATGTTTTGTGTTCAGATTGTAATGCACGTATGTTATAAAATCTTTTTTATGGGATACATTTTTATTTGAAATTGGTCTCTCTGATTTTATAAGAAATTGAAGCAAACTGTAATGACTTATAAGTATCTTTAATGGAACTTAACAACTGTTACTCCCAACATACATTGTATAAAGATCTATAAAAAGATTGTTCTGTGGAAACACATACATTGTATTTTCAATCTTTATAAAATGTCTAAAGAAGAACGCTTAAAAGTAAACTTGCTGTGAGGAATATATGCCAACAAACTGCCAAAACCAGGCACACTCTGTCTATTGCTTTAGAAACCATTTTCCATGTCACATACACGGTCGCCCATTCTCAATAAAATAAAGCATTTGAGGTTGAAAAATATTAAAAATTTGATGTTGTCATTGTGTCATTTTTTATCGCTGAAGTAAATGTTTAGGGTATTTTGGAAGTTTGCCAGAAATATTTTGAACAAGAAACTATGATATAACAGGATGGCATTTATTTCGGTAATGACACTGTATTTCTTCGGTAACGTAGATTTCAGATCTAATAATGTAACATATTGGCTGCATATTAATAACAAATGTCTGTAAAATATATCAAAATCTGTAAATTCTCTATCTAGAGGGACTTTCTAACCCAGGAAAATTCAAAGAAGTTGGGTACCTTGCTAATTTTCAGTCAATTTCTCCAAAGTTAAATATTCGTAGAAAGCAAAAATAGTCAATTTTGAAAATGATTATTTTATGTCTTCATTCAAAGGATATATATCATATATAATATATGAGAGGTCGAATGCATACACAATTTTTGTATTAGCAATTTTTTTCTCAAAATATTCAACTTTCCACTTTCTTAATATTTGGAAAATTTAGTACTAAACAGTTTGATATTCATCCCCATATAGGATGTCACGTATGTTTCATTTTATTCAAATGCAAGTAAAGGTTGAGAAAACAATTTTATTTTTTGTAAAATAATTTATATTTATGGATATTATTTTAACATTATTATATATAGAATGAAATACGGCCAGTAAGCTCTTTGCAGAAACGAATTAGTTGTTGCTGAGAACATCAATATCTTGTAATATATTTTTAACATTTCTGTTGGTACATCAACATATTATTAACATATCTTTCCTTTGTAAAAACAATTTTGTGTCTTCTTACATCTAATACAAGGTAACCGTTACTAACAGGCATGCTTATCCCAACTTTATCTTTAATTTTCAAAAATTGTTGAATTGTAAGTTGGAGTAACGTATGTTTCACACTCGCTTATTTATGAACTTTATCACGGAATTTAAACTTACATGTAAAATCGACTTTTTTATTTAGGAATCAAATGCACATCATTCTATTGTCATAAAAATGCGATTTTATGTTTTTATATATGCATGAGTAAAGAATATAAAGTCTGTTTGATAAAAGTAACGTTGGTTTCACTGTGGTTACTTAAACAAGTAAAAACACGACCAAAGTTAACAAAATTTACTTACTAATGTCAAATAGAAGTTAATGTTGATGTTATACGTGCTTTCTGACTTCAATTTTCCTTTTGATAAACTTACTTTAAAAAGTTGATAACGTATGTTTCTGTAACGTATGTTTCATTTTTACATTGAAAGTGGGTTAAAAATGACGCAAGACCGTTTAAACCGCCATAATTTGTGGTTAATATATCAGAGTTACACACATGTTAATTTTCTTTCTTGTTTGGATTCTTCTTTGAATGGATTGGCTCTTAAATAATGGTAACGTATGTTTCTTTTTAAAGTGCTGTTGAAAAGATTTGAATAAAAAATGAAAAATTCCGAAAATAGAATGATATTTGAGAGGCTGCAAGCTTATTTTTACTTATAATTATATATATGCTGTATTATTAAGCATGCATCGATTCAATTATGTAATTTGGGTTTCACTTCTTATTGTTTTAGGTTTGTCACTATTTATATATATGCATTTGGCGACATTTGATCATTCATTATACCAATGAGATTTTAACAGTCAAATATAATATTTACCAATAATCAAAGTGCATATACACACAGCAATGACTAATTGCACATGTTTCGTTTATTCTGGAACTTATTTTTCTGAAACACAATTTCAAAGTTGAAAATTCTAGGTGGCGACAGTAACGTATGTTACATTTTAGGGCATTAATGGTACTTGTAAAAGAAAAATAATAGATAGAAATGTAAAACTGAGAGTGTCCCTATTAGACAAAGTGGCAGCCACCTTTCTAACGACATTTTGACCTCAAGAAAAACCTTCGTATAAGAGCTACCCAGTGGAACATCAAATGCTGTGTTTTATTGAGAATGAGCGACCGTGTACATCCATAATTAAATGTAACGCTATCTTGTACTGTCTCATTCAAACATGCTTTAACATTGTCGTTTGTTTCATCTTTTCTCACGCGATAATGTTCGTTTGATTTTGTTATGCAGCAGAACCTGACGAGTGCCTTAAATATACTTGAAATTACAGTGTTCTTCTCGCGATGAAAGAGACTTAACGAGACTATAGTGATCATGATTGTACAAGCGCTTCCAAACAGTTGAAGTCCAACATAAACACTAAATGAAGCGACCTCGTCCGACGATTCAGGCATTGAACTGTTTATAGTGGTCAAAAAAACAGCAAGACTGAGAAATATAGATATTGAAAATGTTACCCTTTCACCGCTTTCCGAAGGAAGTATGAATGAAACAATATTCAAAACAGATATACAGAACACTGGTAATATAACATTCAAAACGTTGTACAACGATTTACGTTGCAGATCAAAACGAAACAGCACGTGATCCCACGAGTCATTTCCGTACATGCGTCTCTCTACTTTCACCCTACTTCCGGTTAAATCCCATTCGCCGCTTTCTGCAAAAACTGACATATCAGGTGTATCCTGGGTGCTTTTTAAAACAAGAGTTGACGTTGAATGACTCCATGACAAGAAATCAAATGTACATATTTGTTTATCGAACGGAAACTTTCCGATCGAGACTTTACATGCGATCGTGTAAATCTTATAGGGCCAAATAGTTACCAAACCATCACTTAGTATATTAGCTTTTCCATCTATTTGTCCTAAATCCGTCAGTTTATCATACGTGTCTTGTAAAGCAACATCAGGAATCCATATGTCTGTATTCTTGACACTGATTTTAGAAACGCCAGAATATTCTTTGGCGTCCCATGTAAGAAACGAATCTCTCCACTTAATCTCCAGAAAAGCCTTGATTGAAATAGTTTGTCTTTTCTCGTTGATGTTATCTATAGACATTAACACCATATCAAGAGTGACTTCAATTGGCAAAGATTCACTTTCTCTAGGAATGACATTTTGGTTGTAATCCTTAAACAACTTTTTGTGAAGTGTTGCCTCTGATGTATTACGATTTCTCGAGCTAACAATCACTAGATTCAGAGCAAGGATTAGAACAGTTGAAACACCTATATTCTTATCCATAGTACACGTATACTTTTCTGTTTCTCTCTGATATTTATAATACGTATTCTACTTCAATGGCACAACGATTTCTTTTCATATCCAATATTTGAAATGAGTTTCCTACAGCTTTGACGCTATATTTATATTAAGTTATTAACCAGAATGCGCTTTCAAAATGTTTATTTTCGTGGGATGCCGCCTGTGTCATTGATTGCAATGACGAATGTTAAATTTTTTGCGATGTCTAACTCGATGGCTGCCTATTAATAACTCTTTAATGTGTCCTAATGCACGAATCATCGGGGAATGATAATGTTACGGACAAGCTATCAGATTAAACAGTGAAAACAAATGGCAATAAATAATTGTGGGTATTAATATTATTACTGTAGAGCATCCTGTGTAAGATCATTAGATTTTATATTTATTATACCATTATACATTAATCATTTACAGTTCTGAAGGGACACGTTTTAAAAAACTATTCTATTCAATAAGTAATTAAGAGAAATTCACTAGAGGCATGATAACCTCTGTTATTATTTAGTGCGAGAATTAACTATATTGATGCGTCACAGACAGCTGTACAATTCATTATGGTATAGAATATTACAAACATTTTTTTTTCAATTTCATTTCTTCCCGTGTCAAATATATAAATACAAATATAATGTCAAAACGAGCCTTTTGATGAAAATTTGAATATTGGCCGCAAGGCAACGGATTGATTAATAGGTTACCTTTTTTAAATAGCTTGGCAGGTTCTAGAAAAAAATTAATGCTTCACAGGGGATAAGACAAGGAAATTTTCAGGTATAAAACTACTTCCTTTAAAAAAATTAAATTAGATATACAACAAAAGTGTACATATATCAATGTTTTATAAATTTTATGAGGAGTCATCATATATCTAATAGAAGAGATTGTTTATCAGCAGTTAAATAAGGATGAGAATGGTCATATACACTTGTTGTCTTTCATCATAATTTATTAAATAAAGGAATCATATCAAGTTGTAAAATACACAGGAACACATTATCTGTCCGGAATTCACGGATCTGTGATCGTTTCTTCAATTTTCGGTACCTTTCCACTGTATCGCAGACTTCATCAATGAATTTATAAATATCCTTCCCCCAAAAAGTTTTTTTGCACGAATCTACCATTTCACATGAATATTTAATAAAAATCGATACGCTGTAGTTTCCAAAAATTATTACTTTGAAATGATATGGTCTAGAATATTGTTGTTTTGATCAAATTTATCTACATGAATAAAATCCCCTTTTAAAAAATTTTTTTAGGCCTACTATAAGGACAGTCAAAAAGCAGATATTTGTCATTACTAAATAATAAAAAAACAAGAATAAAGAATATTTATATAGATAAATTCATTTTTTTATTGCTGTAGAAGCAGCCGACATAATAGTTTTGTGCAATTTGTAATGTAACCCATTGTCATCATGCTATCGCGCTGTAATATAATAATATTTGGCTATATATGCATGTACCACTGATATATCATTTGATATTTGAAAAAAGTAGTAAAATATACATATTGATAAAATAATCGATAATATTCTACATGACTATTTTCATGAGTTGATCTTTGTCTAAAATGAATTCTCAGTTCAGTTGCAGTTTTTATTTCCATCCGTGTCGATTCGTTTCAGCAAACACATTTATGTTGTTCAAAAAGTTATGAGCCATTTAGCACAAATTTTCATTGCAAAAGGCTATTTTTATATACATGTACTTCTATCACTATGTATATGTTAGTGGTTGTTAGTAAACAATTACGTATGCTTACTTACAAACACTAACTAATGTAAGGTTTGAAATTATATTTATAAAACTGTCGGTTTACTAGACTTATTAAATTTAGTCGATTTACCAATGAAAGTATACGTGTAACATGTTTTATCATGAAATAACACCATTACATTTGACATAAATCTTATATCTGTTTACTCGTAGTTTACTGGCTGTAGGCAACAATTTAAACACAATCATGCCACAAGTGCAGACCAAGATCTGTGCCGTCGTATCAAGGTCTGTGCTGTTTGTTATTCAGTCAGTATAATTATATTTCATTTAAATGAAGAATATCTATGTGGAGAGGGTTTAGATTCTACCTATGTATTTGTAAGATACATGCTTATATGTAAGCTTTACCTCTTTGGCCAATATGTTAGCTTTACCTCTTTAGCGAATATGTTAGCTTTACCTCATTTGCCAATATATAAACTTTACATCCTTGGCCAATATGTAAGCTTTTCCTCCTTGGCCAATATGTAAGCTTTACCTCCTTTGCCAATATTTTAGCTTTACCTCCTTGGCCAATATGTTGGCTTTACCTCCTTGGTCAATATGTTAGCTTCACCTCCTTAGCCAATATGCTAGCTTTAACTCGCTTGTCAATATATTAGCTTTACCTCCTGGGTCATTATGTTAGCTTTACCTCCTTGGCCGGCCAATGTGTTAGCTTTACCTCCTTAGCCAATATGTTAGCTTTATCTCCTTGGTCAATATGTAAGCTTTCCCTCTTTTGCTAATATGTTAGCTTTACCTCCTTGGCCAATATGTTGGCTTTACCTCCTTGGCCAATATGTTAGCTTCACCTCCTTACCTTTGTAGCTTAACCTGGCCAATATGTTAGCTTTACCTCTTTGGTCAATATGTTAGCTTTACCTCCTTGGTCAATATGTTAGCTTTGCCTCCTTTACCAATATGTTAGCTTTACCTCCTTGGCCAATATGTTAGCTTCATCTCCTTGGCCAATATGTTAGCTTTACTTCCTTAGCCAATATGTTAGCTTAACCTTCTTTGCCAATATGTTAGCTTTACCACTTAGGCCAATATGTTAGCTTTACCTCCTTGGTCAAAATGTTAGCTTTGCCCCCTTTACCAATATGTTAGCTTTACGTCCTTGGCCAATTTGTTAGCTTTACCTCCTTGGTGAATATGTTAGCTTTACCCCTTGGTCAATATGTTTGCTTTACCTTTTTGGCCAGTATGTTAGCTTTACCTCCTTAGCCCATATGTTTGCTTTACCTCCTTGGTCAGTATGTAAGCTTTACCTCATTGGTCGATATGTTAGCTTTACCGCAATGGCTAGTATATGTTGTTAGTGATCATACGAAGTTAATTTCATGGATCGCCCTTTACTTATTGATTGGTTTTATTGATTATAAAGGATTTTATTTTTGTGTGATAAAGCGGAACTGAAAAGATATTAAAGCAGTCAGCGTTTATGGTTTAATAAACCTACAAGCGTATTCACTGACAAAAAAGAATAAATTTGCATTTATGTTTTATAGCTACAGTTAAATTCACATTTTCTAGTAACGAAGTTTTTTGTGCTGTTGACTGTTCAGTACCTTATGCGATTGGCTTAATACCAATATGAATTGTTCACAAATATTAACCTGCACACTTTGAATACACTATCCGGTGCAGGTTGTTTGTTTGTGTTGGCCTGTAAAGGAAATAGTTCTGAAAATGTTTTCGCTTTGTCGAAATTACTACATAAAAGCATGAAAAGAAAAAAGATAGACCGAGGCCACTGATTGCTTGATACGGACAATGTGTTGCTAACAGGCTATAAAAAGATCCAAACAAAAACGAAATATACTTTAGGGATGACGATTTATTTCTTTAACGCATGCAAAGTGTCTAAAATAGTTGAATATTTGCAACATTTGGCAATTTTATTTATTTGCCACAAAGGGCGTTTTTGTTATTGTTGTTGTTGGGAGTTATTGGTTTTTGTTTGTTTAAATTTACTACATTAAGCGTATTTCATTGCAGCTTCTGTGTAAAGAAAAAAGAAAAAAAAAATGTTAAAATGTAACTTTTCTGTCAAAGAATATCGTTCGAACTGTTGAGCGCCTGGCGTTAATCATTTATACATTGTTTGAATCATCAAAAGGTTTTAACGGAAAATTAACTATCGCTTGTTCTGTTTAACTGCTATATTCATAATTCAACAGAAATTTCATAGACAAAACTTTATGATCTTTTTTTCTGAATACATAAATATAGAATTTGTTCCAATATAAATGCAATCATTTTCTGCCTTTTAATTTAAAGACGAACACACATTGCATAAGTTATAGCTAGGAAATAATATGAGAAATGCGGCTGAAAACTCAAATTATTATTACAAGACCGATTTTTAGATTAAACAATTTCAAATGAAATTTTGAATTTAACAAGTTTATCGAAATAACTGAAAAACCATTTTCAAATTTTCTTGGCAATATGTATTAATTTGTTTGTTAGAACAAATACAGAGCAATTGTATTTTGGATATAGAATCGGAACGGACATAGCAAGGAATGAGTTAACATTTTACGCGTTTGAAATGACCCGCCAATGACAGGAACATTGAGAAAAGACTGCGTTAGAATCGTGCATAAATCAAAGAAACAATGCAAAATTATTAATTATGACCTTCGGGCAAAACTTTGCTATCATGTAGCATCGGACAGTACATTGTTTACTGAGGACTTTAATCGAGTAGACTTTCTGGAGAAGAAACCAGGATTCAGTTACGGAGTTAAAAGCGAATGGAAAATGGTAAGAACTTTTTTGTGTGTGATAAAGTATATACTAAGTCGTAAAATAAACAATAATTATTCAATTGTTATATCATTTATTGAAAAGTCTTTAGATTCAATTTCATTTTTTTATTTCAGAAACTACGAAAACATATAATTTATACAAGAGGAAATTAAAAGAAAAAGCATCTGTTTAGTATCCATGAAGTTTGGTTATCTTTACAGTAGTAATTTTGTACCACATTTTTATTTGTTTGGGTCGTCAGACCAAACAAATAATGGTAGCGAAATTTCAGAGTCTAATGCTGTTAATTGCAAATGCCGAAAGTAGTCCACTTTTTTGAAGCGGTTACTTCCCTTTATATGTACTCTAACGCCGAAAAATTCAGGGGAGATCACTGCGTAAAGATGGTCAAAGACAGACGCATTAATTTTCAAGAAAAATATTTCCCGAATGGTCGAAGATTTCTAATATTGTTTTATTGTATTTTCTGATCGAAAATAAGTAAATACAAAGCGGACATTCAATCTCTGACACTGAAGTTTACGACAAACCTAACAATAATTAAGTAGTTCTCAAAACAGCTTAAAACTAGCGATTTAAAAGAAAGAAATATTTTCATTTTGTTACAAGTATCCAACAAATTACAACGCATTCAAAGTTTAAAAATAGCGTCGGCTTATAGAATTGTCAATAAATGCACAATCACAAATTACGCGGATGAATATGATTTTATCAATGAAAATACTATTTTTAGCGATGTCGATTACCGAATACTACACAAACCGAGTAGT